CCGCCCCAGATGTGGCAACAGTATTCCATACAGGGACGGATTTGAGATTTATAGAGATAGAGAATAGAATCTGGAGTAAGAAAGTGTCGAGCTCGATAAAGAGATGCAACCTTAGCAGATGCTAATTTTGCAATGGATTTGATATACGGTTTAAAAGAAAGATCAGAAGTAAGAGTTAATCCTAGAAGATGAATGGTAGATGACTCATCTAGTACATTACCATTCATAAATATAGGAAGATCTAAATTATTACGATAACGATTGGCTGAATAAAATTGAGTTTTATCTGAATTAAAGTTCACCAGCCACTGTGAGCCCCATGCTGTAGCAGAAGTGAGATCCTTTTCAAGCTCAGATACCCCCTCCAAGCAATCAGAGAGTGTAGGCTTCTTATCATGACAAGAGTAAATGGTAGTGTCGTCAGCGAATAATGCCACCTTAGATGTGAGAATATCTGGAAGATCGTTAATGTAAATTAAAAAGAGTATAGGGCCAAAGATTGAACCTTGAGGAACCCCTGAAGTTACAGGATGTGAAGAAGAGTGTTGTCCATCGAGGACAACTTTTATACTACGATTGGAAAGAAAGGACTCAATAATCTTAAAGACATTACCAGCTACACCATAAGAAGAAAGCTTATGGAGAAGACCAGCATGCCAAACTTTATCAAAAGCTTTAGAAATGTCAAGTGCGATAGCCTTAACCTCTCCACCTCTATCTAATGCACGGTAAAACCTATCGGTTATTACTGTTAGCACATCAGCAGTAGAACGAGAAGACCGAAATCCATATTGATGATCAGAAAGTAAGTTATTTGATTCAAGATGAGAGATTAAGTGTTTGTTGATTAAAGATTCAAAAACCTTGCTTATGACAGGAAGAAGACTAATGGGACGGTAGTTAGATGAATCAGATCGCTCTCCGGAATTTTTGAAAATAGGGATAACAGATGCTGCTTTCCAGCATGATGGAAAACAAGACTCTGATAAGCACTTGTTAAATAGTTTAGAAAGTATGGATGAAAGCTCCGGAGAACACCTCTGCAAGACTACAACAGGAATGTTGTCAGGACCACAAGCTGTTGAAGAGTCTAAGCAGGAAATTACTTTAGATACAGAAGCTGAAGTGATGCGAATGTCAAGCAAGGGATCAACCTGTTTGACGGCTATGTCAGGTAAAACGCAACTAGTGGAATCAAGAGATGATATTGATGAAAAGTTCTTAGCAAACAATTCAGCTTTGTCTTTAGGTGAGGTGACAAAGTCTGAACCATACAAGAGAGAAGGAATAACAGATTAGCCCTTATTATTGATACTGTTAAAGATTCTCCAGAAGTCTCGAGAGCCTAATTTTTGTGATGAGATTTAATGACCTGGGAATAGCGAGCTTTGGCGTCAGACAAAACCTTTTTACAATGGTTTCTGGCGATAGTGAACAGATGTCTGTTTTCTGGAGAATTGTTTTGCTGATAGATATGGAAGTAACGGTTTCGATTAGAAATTGCTGCAGCGCAATGTGAAGAAAACCAAGGAGAAGAGTGAGGCTTGACCTGGAATCATCGAGAGGGAATAAAAGATTCCATGCCAGCCTGAATCCACGAAGTTATGTAAGAAGCACATTTGTCAGCAGGAAGACGAAAGATTTCTACCCAAGGGCCATCACGAAGAAAATCACGGAAAGAGTCCCAGTCAGCTTTAAGGTAGTTGTATGTGGTACGATGATAGGGGGATTCTGATGAAGTAGAAGAATTTGATAATAGTTTTAGAGAGATCAAACCGTGATCAGAAGTACCTAAGGGTGAATGTGGAGAAATTGAGCACTGACTAGGATCCAAAACAAGACATAAGTCGAGTAGAGAAGGTAAATGATTAGGGTTGTCTGGAAAACGAGTTGGAAAGTTGACTATTTGAGTTAGAGATTGAGAAAGGCAAAAGTTGAGGGCCTTAACGCCAGCAGAGTCACTGACACTAGAGCCAAGCCAATCGGTGTGATGGGCATTAAAGTCACCAACAACGACGATATTGGCCGATGGATAAAGAGAGAGGGCTTGGTCAATTTGATCAGAAATAACATCAAGAATAGTGCAATCTTGGGATGAAGGAGAGCGATATAGAACAAAGAGAAAGGCGATAGAGTGAAGTTGTGCTAAACGAAAGCACATAAATGAATAGTCTGTAGATTCAAACCTAGTTTCACAACAAATGGGTGAGTTCTTACGAATGTAGATGCCCAGGCCAAGCATGTGATTATTGGAGTCTTTACGAATTAAAGGAAGATAACCATCAACACTAAGATCACAAGATGGGACAGCCGAACTCAAATTAGTCTCACAAAGAGCAAGTAGGTCTGGTGAACTTTGCAAAAGATAAGACTCAACAGAAGAAAAGTTTCTTTGAAGACCACGAATATTAGTAAATGATAGGTTTAGAGAACTTGGTGATGACGATGGTTTTTTGTGTTTTTTAGTTTTAGGTACTTTAGTCATTTTAAATTTATAAAGAACTTGACTCAAGTATAGATAGTACTCAGTACACTATTTAACAACTAAGCAATAGCCTCATTACTATTAATAAACCCTAAGCCGTAACAAAGGGCTCCAAATGTGGCCTCTGCAATGCAGACCAAAAGTACAAACAGGGACACCATCCATGCGCAACATGGCACTGTTAGTACTCTGATATTTTTCGGCTGTTGATGGAATCAGCCTCTCTGAGAGCTACCACAGAGTTCAGGAAACCTGACTACCAGCCGGCCTCAGAACCATAAAACTGAGTTTTAGAGCTGTACCCTCATTAGGAGATAATAGAATGAGTTGCCCAGTCATAAAAATAGAGACACAAGCAATACCCACGCATTGAGTCAAGAAGATCCAGCGTTCAACATCCTAAACTGGAAACAATGTATTAAAAATACATCTGCGCCAGCCTAATAGATGAGGAAGGGGTGCGAGGCTGGTCAACAGATAGAATCTGTTTACCCCTTAAGTCTTTGCCTAGGAGGCCTTCTACAAGACAGCAGCTGGATGCATGTAACATCTGCCCAAGATGAGTATTTTTATCGAGACACCATCTCTAAATGTTATTGTTACATAATTAGTTTTATTTACATCTTGTTACATAATTAGTTTTATTAACTTTAATGGTTATTAATAACTTCATTGAAAACGTAGTTATTTTTGTAAGTCTTTGTTTACAAATTAAATCATAAAAATTGTTTTAAAAGATTACATTACGATAAAAATAGATACACAAAGTTACATTTACATAAAAAATACATACTTTTTTAATAAAAAATAAGAATATACTAATAAAATCTATAATTTATAATAAACTTTCAAAATTTTGACAATTTAAAAAATATATATTATAAACCATTTATTTTTGTATATAAATAATAATAGTTTAAAAGATTTACTGTTTTGTAGATTTTCTGTGGCTCCGAGAACGAGCTGTAGTATTGAACAAAATAATAGAATTATTTCGTTCGTTAATTTGGCGGTTTTTAGTAAATATTCTTTTTATTCTTCCGCACCAAGATGTTTTGAGAACATTCAAATTTATTATGTTTCTATGCCCGGAAAACAAAAATTTTTTGTTACATAAACTTAAATGTTCTCAAAACGACTAAAAAACCTGTTGCCAGTTTTTCGCAACTAAATATTATTTCCGTGGTCAATATTCAAGAGCGATTGCTCCCTCTTCCTGACCAAGCTTAATAAAGTTAGTTGCACCTTTAATTTTGTGCCTACACCTGCTAAACATCCTGAACACCTTAGTTCTTTTTGTATTTGTAAAAATATTTTGTCTTCTATTTTTATTTGTTCCAAAGCATTACATGTGCTATATAGAATAAATTATCTAAATTGTTTTGAAAGTCCTCCTTATGCCGCTTATAAACATCTTGTAAATGGATTTTTTTTTTTTGTAACTTTCTCTAAGGATGGTGAGGATCTTTAAGTTTTTTTTGTTAGGTTAGCTCTAGTAGGGAATCTAGTTATTTTCCAAAATATAATACACTCTTGAATGAAAAGATTTGCGTTTTCACTGATAGTCAATTTAGCTTCACGAATGGTAAACAAAGAATACTGCAAGAACATGACAGTTAGACCGTTACTTTTTACCTGTTATTCACATTATCAACTAAGAAAATATTGTTTTATTGCTTCTTAATTCCACTGCCATTTCTTAAATGTAAAACAATTTGTGTTAATCACAAGAATAACTGAATCAGGGTTTTCTTTCTAAAATTGCAGATTAGATTAAAACGGTTTTTACAACATTTATAATAATTATCTATTTACAATTATTTTAAATTGATAATGATTATCTATTTACTATTATCAATTATTATCAGATTATCAATTATTATCAGATACAAGGTAATTATATATTTTTAGTCATCATTTTGCATCATTGTAAAAACTGCTTTGATTATATCCGCCCTTTTAACAAATGGCGTGAATAAGTGCAGCTATTGCGCAACTTGTATCAATATGATTTTATGCAAGTCAGCACAAGTTGTCCTACTCCAAATAAGGCAAAAATTTATTTTATTTTTGAGTGTTTTAGATGCAAATGAACAAAACTGAAACCTATGCATTAGAAAAAAATAAAACTTTGAAAAATAAGGGACACTCATATATATATATATATATATATATATATATATATATATATATATATATATATATATATATATATATATATATATATATATATATATATATATATATATAATGATTTTAATTTTACTGTGTCTTAATATTTAAATAAGTTGCAATTAAGTTTAAAGTTATTAATTGTAAATATACAGTGACATCTGTGGGCATTTACCACCATAAATGCAAGCCAATTTACACTCAAAAGGGTGCATCATGGAAAAGTATGATGTTCTAAAGCATCCCAAATAAGTTTAATATTAATTTAAGAGTTAAATTTTCTAGAGCAAGAATGTGTCTTGTAATTATATAAAAATTTTTATAGATTATACATGCATTTTAGAATGGATGTTTCTCAAAGAAACACATCAGTGGTATCACATCCTGTGAGTTCTCCCATGAATTCTTCTACGTTACCATCTCAGAGTCCTCCTCCATATCAAAGTCCTAATGAAAATGAATCTTTTAGAGAAGATCCAATTAATGATAGTCCCCCTATGTACACTGATGTAGTGAAGTTACCTTCATATAATGAGTCTGAAAATACTTCCAATGGAGAAACTCATGAAAATCCTTCTGTAAGTAAAATAGTAGTTTTTTATATATATCTAACAATGGGTAAAACTAGTGATGTACCAATGGAAAAAGCTGATTGAGGCTAATGATAGAGTTTAATGTATATATATAAAGGTAATATATTAATATTAGGTATACAATTTGCATATATAAGGTGCGCCTATGCACCAGTTTGGTTCGGTTTATTAGCCAATGCCAATACATCAACCAATGCAGATTAATCAACTGATGTCGTCAGGCAATTAATCAGCCGATGGTCGATTAATTAGTTGCTGGTTACTGATAGCATAGGCTAGTAGGTTTAGTCACTGCTGATGTATAGGTACATGTTATGTATATATATATTTTACATCTTTAATTTTATTATAATACTCTGATACAAATACATTAAAACCTATTATTAGCCACAATTGGCCTTTGCCATTGGTACATCACTAGTAAAAACCAATAAACAAAATTGTCTTAAAAGACAATGTGCTAATTTTTTAATGTATTTATTTAATTGCAATTATTTTAATTTACAGTATTTATTTATATTTTATTTATATAAAAAAAAATGAAGTAAAATGTTCAATTTAAAAAGATAAAGAGAATATCTGAGTTCCATTTTAGACATTTATTATACTATTATTGACAAATTTTACTTTAAAATTTATAAAACTCCTTAATATCTTATCTATAGAATAATTAAATATGCTAAGTGAGTCTTGTCTCTAAATAGTTAAATTGGTAAAAAAATTTATAGAAACAAGCATAAAACAGTAGCATAGCAATTACATAACATTTACTGGGAAGGCCTAGAGTTATTAAGAACCCAAGGTGACCAACTTTAAAAAAAAAATCAAAATGTCACTGTAAAAGTAACATTTATGTTTATAAACATATCAACATTAATACATTATTATTATTATATAACTAAGAAATCTTTTTCTGATTTTATAAACATATCAACATTAATACATTATTATTATTATATAACTAAGAAATCTTTTTCTGATTTTATAAACATATCAACATTAATACATTATTATTATTATATAACTAAGAAATCTTTTTCTGATTTTATAAACATATCAACATTAATACATTATTATTATTATATAACTAAAAAATCTTTTTCTGATTTTATAAACATATCAACACTAATACATTATTATTATTATATAACTAAGAAATTTTTTTTTCTGATTTTGGCTTTAATAATAATCTTGGCTAGCACTTTAATAAATGAGCAAATTTTTATTTATATCTGAAAAAATAAAAAAAACTACATTAAATCATAAATAGTATAATTTTATTAAGTGGGAAATATGGTGTCATGCTGTTGCGCAAACTGCCATGGTTGAGCTGTTTAATTGAAACGATAACTTATTGCTTGCTTTTAAAAAAAAAAATTACAATGACTTTGCAAATAGGAAAACTTTTTTTTCTTCTCAACAGAAAAAATATTTTAAGATTAAAGATCTAGATAGGTTTTCAGATTTGCTCAATTTATTAACAATAAAAAGACATTGATAAAATGTGGAAACTTCTAACTGGTAAACTGCGAAAATAGGATTAGGATTACATACATCTACTAATTTTGGGAAAAAAACAAAAGAATAGTTCTACATCTACTGAGGGTTTGGGTTGGGACAGCAATAGGATTTAAGTTATGAGAGATTTCTTGCACTATTTTTCTGCATTTTACACATTGAATATGTTTGCATTTCAGTATTTTACAAGTGTTCACAATAGTATTGTGATATAAGTTGATCATTCACTGATATAATCGCAATACTTTTGGTATATTTGACATTATTTGTTAGTACGGCATTTGCAAACAGATCTTTCAGCTTATTAAAAATAATTAAAGCACCTTTATGGACAGCAATGACGCCATACTGTTTTTGCACTAAACCTTTTAGCTATTGAAGAATTAGCAGCTTAAATTTAAAAGATATTATTGAGCAATTTACAGCTATGAAGACAAGAAAACACTTTCATTAGATTTTTTAACATACTACAATTACATACTAAAACATTCTGGTTCTTATGTCAAAGTTGTGTTGAGGAATAAAGTTTTGTTTTCATGTATAACTTTTTGTTATACCTGAAAATAAAATGTATATCTGTTTTCTTTTAACATATATATACATTTCATGTATATATATGTTAAAAGAAAACAGAAAAAAAGTTAGTGACTTTTTAAAGAGGGCTTATCTTGCATACTTTGGTGTTAGGCTTGGGGATCAAGATAAAACCTGGGCCCCACATCAGGTCTGTAAAACTTGTACAGAACATTTACGACAGTGGACTACCGGGAAAAGAAAAGGTATGAAATTTGGCGTGCCAATGGTTTGGAGAGAACCATGAAACCATTTCAACAATTGTTATTTCTGCATAATAAATATTATTGGAATCAATCGAAACAACCGTAGCAAGTGGTCTTATCCTGATTTATTATCTGCAAGACAACCGGTTCTTCACTCAGAGGAAGTTCCAATCCCAACGTTTCTCCAGCTACCAGAGCTCTGCGAGGATGAATATTGTGCTTCTAATTCTTTTGATACTAATGAAATTGACAGTGATTATGAGGGAAAGGCATCTATTCCACAACAATTCAACCAAGATGAGTTGAATGACCTTACCAGAGATATCAATCTATCAAAAGAAGCTTCTGAGTTACTTGCTTCCAGATTGAAGGACAAAAAATTACTGGAACAAGGAACCAAAATTACTTTCTACCGTACACGAGAAAAGGATCTGCTACCCTTATTCTCTCAAGAAGAGGATCTTGTATTTTGTCACGAAATTAGAGGACTCCTAGAAAAGATAAGTCTTTTTAAATATTTTCAAGATAACTGGCGTCTATTTATTGATAGCTCAAAGAAATGTGAAATGTGTTCTTCTGCACAATGGAAACAAATTTGGTTCAATACCAATCGCTCACTCAACAAAAATGAAAGAAGAATATAACACCATTGCTTTAATCTTGGAAAAGCTAAAGTATCAGCAACATCAATGGGTGATTTGTGTGGACCATAAAATGGTTAACTTTCTCCTGGGACAGCGAGCTGGTTACTAAATGGCCTAATGAGAAAAAACATGGAAGTTGGGAAAAATAATTTAATTAACAACGCCTTAGTTGAACGAGATAAAATCATTTTTCCTCCAGGCTGGGCCTTATGAATCAGTTTGTATAGGCTCTTGATAATAACGGATTGTGTTTTGGATATATAGGGGAGAAGATGCCACAGTTGAGTACAGAAAAAATTAAAGCAGGAGTATTTGATGGTCCGCAAATAAGACAATTTATTAATGACTCTGCCTTCGTGAATTCAATGAATGAAACTGAGCGAAAGGCTTGGACTTCATTTGTTGCAGTTGTCAGAAATTTTCTGGGCAAACGCAAAGATGAAAACTATGTTAAACTGGTTGACCACATGCTTAGCAGTTTCAAACCCCTCAGTTGTAATATGAGTATTAAGATGCACTATTTACACAGCCATTTAGATCATTTTCCTAAAAACTTAGGAGATATGAGTGAGGAGCAATGTGAAAGATTTCACCAAGATATTAAAACTATGGAGGATCGGTACCAAGGAAGATGGGATACACACATGATGGCGGATTACTGCTCGAATTTAAAAAGAGATTGTTCTAAAATACATTCAAGAATGTTAAGGAAAAGAAGTTTCTGGGTTGTTTAGTGACTATAGTTTGTTTCATAAATATTTTTTCTTTTGTCTTTACATATAATAACTATATATATAATAGAGCGTAATATACCATATAGTTATACATTTCTATAGCATAATAATCAAAATTTAATCAAAATTTCATGTTTATTTTGTTGATTTGATCCCAATCAAAACCCTTTTTAAAAGGATAAAAACCATTTACATAAAAGGTATAAAAGATTTTTGTTTTTTAGGGTAAAGGACCCATTGCCCCCCCCTAGCCCCCTCATTGATGCTTCTTATTTCATTAAAATGATCTCAAAAATGCGAGCTGATTGGCAAAATCTAACAGTATATTTGAGTTCAGGGCATCAAACTCATAAAATTAGCTGCAAATACCCCGGCACCAAAATAGCTGTTGGCCTGTGTAATTTTTGGTAAAAAGATAGGGGGTAGAGATGCTAGAGAATAAATTTTGAGGCCCTGAGTAAAGTTTTGCAAGGAGCCCATTATTTGTCGCTATGCTACTGGAATAAAAAGAATCAAATCTATGTTTTACTACCAAGATGGAGCTAAGTACTATTAAATTTTTACAAAATTCAATAGTACTTAGCAAAAGTTAATAAAATAATAAAAACAAAGATAAAATTCTGATAAAGTAATAAAAAGTCAGTAAAAGTCTGATAAAGTAATAAAAAGTCAGATAAAATAGTTCAGATTAGTAAAAATAGTTGCAAAACAAATTGTTTTGAAATCAGAAGCCAATCACTTTAAACTGTTTCAAAAGTTCACCTTGAATTTTTCTAGTATCATAGAAATGATATTTTGTATGTAAGATAAATATATGTTAGAAAAAAAATAAGAATCATTTACAGTCAAGATTTATTTTCAACTTCTCAAAGTTTTGTTTGATTTTGTTTCAAAATTTATACAGAGCTGCTGCGATTGTTATAATATGTTCAATCTTTGCTTTATTAAAGCAAAGATTGATATTAAAAAATAAACAAGGCAAGACAAATCAGTCTTGCCTTAAAATGTTTTTTAAAGCAATTTGTCATAAAAGTCATGCTTTACATTTATTCTCTTTAAATGTATAATTTAAACTTATTTTAAATGCGTAATTTAAGGTTTGCTCTCTATAAATTTTCTGTTATCTCTATAACTCTCTACATCATATTTATATCTGTTATAGTAACATTTTTCCTATTATTTTTAATACTCTAAAAATTTACAAAAATGTTTTAAATCTGTGCAGGGTATCAATAAATACTTTATCTAAAATTTAATAAAATTGCAGCTATGAAGACAAGAAAACACTTTCATTAGAATTTATCTAAAACATAATAAAATTGAGTTATTTTACATTAACACATAATTTGTGTTAGTATAAAATAACTTTGCTGCGTTATTTTATTGCTGTTTTATATAGTTTACATTATGTTTTTATATTAAAAGCATTTAAAATAAAAAATGTTTTATTAGTAACATAGCAGTTTTTATAACTTTTTTTTTTTATATAACTGTTCAGAATTATTCTAAATAATTAATTATAAGCGATGAAAACATCATTTTTATAAACCTTTGCATTTATTATTTTAGGAAAATCATGCTCAATCTATAGACCAAACAAGTAAGATCAAATAAATAAAAAAAACAAGTCCAAAAAAAATCAATTTAGATTATTGCATTTTCATCTAGCATTATACCAGAAATTATTATTTAAATAACTTTTTCATTTAATGGGTTTTTAATTTATGTTTTAATCAGATTTTTTTGTTTAAATTGTTTTGAAAGTCATAAAGTTATAGAAATAAATAATGTAAAAAATTTATAATATAAAAAATATTTATAACTAGAGTGCTCTAAATAAAGAACAATTGGTCTTGAATACAACTATTTTGAATACAAATATTGTTTTTATATAGTAAATTATTTTGTTGAGAGTTGTAAATGTAGGATTATTTTCAAGAGGTATTTTGAATTATTTATTTTCAAGAGATCTTTTGAATCATTCTACTAAAATTAATATTTAGGTAGATGTTGTAAAGTAAAAAAAGTTTCATTTCCAAAATGAGATTTTAATTAAATGTTTAATTAGTTGTTATTATTCTCATTATTTTGTTTATTTTAGTTTTTACATATATTATTAATTTTTATGTATAATGTGATTTGTTTAAAATAACATAGTCAATTATTTAATTATTCTAAATATTATTTATTTAGGTCTTTCTTTACTGGTTGAGAAACAGTAGCGGTGAGAAAAAAATTATGTTCATAATATAAACTAGAGTAAAAGTTTTTATATTACAAGGTCTTTTAAAAGTTTTCTTTTAGTTATAAATCAGTTATTGTTTTCTTGTTTGTTTGTTCAACAGCATTTATAATTATACCAAATAAAAAATTGTTTCCCAATATTTTCCCAAAAGATTAAGGAATATTATCAAAAAAAATTAATCAAATCTTTTTTTATGTTATGCATATAAACATAAAAAATATTGTTTTAGCCTATTAATAACAACTTTGCTTTTAGCAACAACTTTACTTTTAAGAAGACCTTTTAACAATAACTGTTTAAATAATGTATTATTATTCTCACTATTTACAATCATCATTGCTCACATTCTGAGTAGAGTTTGAAGATTATTAACTCAATTTAAAAAAAATATTGTAGTCTATAATTTTAATTGTGTACACTTAAAATGTGAACACAATTAAAATAATAGTTCATTCCTTGAGTTTAGTTCAGTTTACTTTGAAATAAGTTTGAACAGTTTACTCCTAATAAATCTTAAACAATAAAATCTAAAATATATCCCAGTGTTGAGCATCCCTTCTGTTTCCAATCTAGTGTAAAAAAAATAAGCTGTCACATTTTTTTAGTGGGCACCAAATTTTAGAGTATTCAAATTAATACAGGGCCTTGGAGCCAAGGTCAAAAAATTAGCTCCAGCTCCAGGTTCTGGCTCCATTAACAAAATTATTATACAAAATTGGTTCTTATTTTTAAGTGTTGGTTTGATGTTTTTTGCAAACAGTTATGCAAAAAAGATGTCATCTAATATCCAAATCTTTTTTCTGATTTCATTTGCACCGTTGCAACTTTTTTATTCAGATTAAGTTTCAAGTCAAGAAGAAATATTCCTCTTCTTGGTTTTACCAATCAGGCTGCAATATCTTCATGAAAATGTTCAGTCAGCAAAGGATAAAATAAGTATATTGAAGATAACATTGACAGCTAGCTTGGCATTGTTTGAAATAAAAAGGAAATAAATATTTATAAAATATTATATTTGACAATCATTGAAAAATTCATTAGCATTTACAAAATCTGTATTGTTAACTTTTGTTATGCTACAATGACCCACTAATATGACCAATTTACTACTCTTTAACACTATATTAATATCAACTTTTTAAAGAAAGAAAATTAAATCTAAATTCAATTTATCAGCATTATATGCATGAATGCAATGTCTGAGAATTACCATGGTAACATATCTTGCCAGATTTTAATTTTTTGGATTATATATGGGGCGTTGTTGAGCAGAAGACTAATAAACATCCCTTAAAACCACAATTTCTCTATTACTGCAGTAATGACTTGGCAAAGACATATCCTTGAATATTATTTTGTTTTTTAATGATATTTATATTTTTCTTTATAAGAAAAATATAAATGTTATATTTCTTATAAAGAATTTATAACAATAATCTTTGTAAGAAATATTTAATTTGTATAAAACACAATTGCAGCTCATACACTGTTGGAGTGTTAAACACTTTAATTAATTAATAAAACAGAAAAATTAAGAAAACAAATTTTTTAGTAATAATAACAGCAAATAGTGCAGACTATGGATTGATCTATCTGTTTTTTGAATTTTTCTGCCAAAACATAAGTTATTTTTTGTTGTTTCAGTCTTATATTATAGATACTAATTATTGTAGATGTGATTAACAAGCCTTCCCAGAAAGTGCATGCGGTTGTACACCTCGTTTGTCCACATTTAAAGAAATTTGTTTAGACACGCTGACCACTGACATCTTTTAACTTATAAAGCATTTCAATAATTTGCGGCATAAAGCTAAACTTATCTACTGAGGGAAAGAAAAAAAACCTAAAAAAAGAAAACAAAGTTGTAACAGGATATCAAGTTTTAATTAAATAAACTAGAAAAGTTTCCAGCATTAATATGAATTACTAGAGATAATGAACATAATGGTTGCTCTGTTTGAATGTATTTAAAATGTATTTAAAAACTTAAAAAAAAGTTTTAAATAGGCTCCTAATAACTTCATTAAAAAAGTTCAGTAAATTAAAAATGCACTAGCCCACATGTTTTTTTGGACCATTTTCAATAACAATAGTTTATCAGAAAATAAACTATCGGGCTTAAATGCACTATTTGGATAACAACAAAAGTCCAGACTATTTCAATGGAACTAGTGAAAACAACAAAATATTTTATATTTAATTATAATTATTAATGACTTTTTATTTTTTTACATGAAAAACTTGTTTAAAAAAAAAATTCACATATAATTAGCAATTAGTTATCTTGCTTTCCTGTGCATTGATAAAAACAGTAAAGTTGAGCATGACATTTGAAAGACAAATTTAAAAATTGTCCATGTTTCTTGCGCAAATAAAGTATTTTCTTAATGTATATTAAGGAAATACTTTATTATTTGAGAAAAATAACTGAAAAAATCATATATTAAAAAAAGTTTTTATTTTTGCTATATTTTTATCTGCTTTTTTCTTCGACTTGTATCAATTTTGGTAATCAAAAATAACAAATGACCTAAAAAAAAGAAAACAAAAACAGTAACATATTTAGGTATATTAATTTTTTGACAACATTTTTCTTTTTTTAATTATTTTTTTAATTAATTTAATTATTTTTTTTTTAAGCTTATTTTGTTTAGATTTTCTATTTCGCTTAGTCTTCGTTTCTTTTCTTCAAGTGTTGTTTTATTCTCTCTAGTTTCTTATCTTTCTTCAAGTACTGTTGTTTTATTCTCTCTAGTTTCTTCTAGCTTTATTTTGCAGAAATTCTTAAAACGCTTACATTATACTAAAAACTTGGTCAAGTTGTCTAAAAAAGATTACTTTAAGCATGGATGAACAAAGTGTGCGACCGTACGCGCTTCCCGGGAAGGCTTGATTAATGCTCTTATTATAGATATGATTAATGCTTCATAGTCTTATATTGTAAATGTTATATGATGCTTCATAGTTTTATATATGTATTATATGATTAATGCTTCATAGTCTTATATAGATATTATATGATTAATGCTTCATAGTCTTATATAGATATTATATGATTAATGCTTCATAGTCTTATATAGATATTATATGATTAATGCGTCATAGTCTTATATAGATATTATATGATTAATGCTTCATAGTCTTATATAGATATTATATGATTAATGCTTCATAGTCTTATATAGATATTATATGATTAATGCTTCATAGTCTTATATAGATATTATATGATTAATGCTTCATAGTCTTATATAGATATTATATGATTAATGCTTCATAGTCTTATATAGATATTATATGATTAATGCTTCATAGTCTTATATAGATATTATATGATTAATGCTTCATAGTCTTATATAGATATTATATGATTAATGCTTCATAGTCTTATATAGATATTATATGATTAATGCTTCATAGTCTTATATAGATATTATATGATTAATGCTTCATAGTCTTATATAGATATTATATGATTAATGCTTCATAGTCTTATATAGATATTATATGATTAATGCTTCATAGTCTTATATAGATATTATATGATTAATGCTTCATAGTCTTATATAGATATTATATGATTAATGCTTCATAGTCTTATATAGATATTATATGATTAATGCTTCATAGTCTTGTATAGATATTTTTCAAATTTTTTCTGTTTATTTTTCAAATTTTCTCTGTAATTTTTTTATAGATGATGATGATGTAGTTGTTGGAAGTGATCTTGGATTTGTACTATGTTTTTTACGTAAGTACAATCTTTTAGTAATTAAAAGTTACTGTAATATAGATATTTTTTTATTCATGATTTTATCATTTCTCTTCTTATTTTAGTTGCCTTTGTTTTCAACTGGATTGGATTTTTGGCTGGGTATTGTTTTTCCAACTCTTTGTCTGCACAGTATGGTGCTGTTTCTGGCTTTGGTTTGTCACTAGTCAAATGGGCATTTATTGTCAAGGTATGGAATTAATTATATTAAATATGTTCGACTTTTTTAATAGTAGTAGATGTTGTATTGATACTACTTTAGATAGTTTAAGCAAAGTTTGTGCTATCAGTTTGAAAATAAGTCAAAAAAATTATTTTTTATTAGACAAATTAAAAAATACAATAGAGAAACTAAAAACCTAAAGAATGTTTTATATTAAACTATTACTTGTAATGAACAATTCTACTGTGTTGTAGACAATGTTTATGTAATTGTAAAACTATGTATAATATAACAGGTTGTTAGATTGTACTAAAAATTTTGGCTTTAGTCAGTAAAAATCAGTTACATCACCCCTCCCCCCATTAAAATCGCTTCAGGATGGCCCTGTGTTCAATAAGTTTTGTCTTTTAATAAGAGATGACACTATTAGATTTATTGTTTTGTTTTTCTAAAATTTTTATGAACACATGTGAAGTTTCACATAGATCTGATAACTTATTTATATATTTACATATGTTCAAAGTTGACATATCACAAAATTTTTTTCAAAAGGAAAAAATGGAATATTGTGCAGTAATAAAGTTCTTATTTTTGGAAGGTGTAACATCAAAAAAATTCATAAATGATAGTTAAAATTGTATAAGAATTCTTCACCTTCAATTAAAACAGTATGGGTTGCTAAATTTAAATGTGGTCATGCAAGTCTTGAAGATGATCCACATGAAGGATGTCATAAAAGTGCATCAACACCAGAAATCATAGCAAGAATGCGGAATATAGTTTTGGAAGATTTTTGATTAACTAAAAGAGATTTAGTAGAAGCTCTAGGCATCCCATTAGGTAGCGTAAACAATATTTTTGGCTGAAGTTTTGGGTTTGAAAAAGCTCTATGCACAATGGGTGCCGCATTCGCTAACGATGGAACAAAAACACATTCAAATACATTTGTCTTAGCAAAATTAAGAGTGTTTTAGAAAGGATAAAAACAATTTTATGGGTCCTTTGGTCACTATTGATGAGACTTGGGCAGGGCTGTGGAGTCAGAGTTGCAGAGTTGCAACAATTTTATTGGAGTCACTAAACAAAATTATGACTTCGACTCCAATAGTAAAATTTCTCGGTATTGCATGTGCATGTACAAAACATTCAATTAACCTTATGTTCATACTAAACCTCAAACAGCGTTTCATAAATTTGTCAAAAAAAAAATTTTTCACTTATTGCGTAATATTTTTTAAAGAATTCAAAGAATTTTTCAAAAATTTTGCTTTAGAGTTGTAGTCGGAGTTAGAGTCGGAGTTGTACTCAAAAAATTTCAACAACTGGAGTCAAAGTCGTTACTTTTTTTTTATGACTCCACACCCCCTGGACTTGGATCTACCCTCATGATCCTGAATCAAAACATAAGTCTAAGGAGTGGTGTGAACTTCGACTCCAAAGCAAGTCTTCTGGATTCTCACTTCAGTGATGGAGTCCATAAGTTAAAAGATCACTGGAACAAGTGTATTGAAGTTTAGGAAGATTATATTGAATAATAAACTGTATTTCAAACAAAAAAATCGTGTTTTTCTTATCAATTGACAAAACTTATTGAACAAACTGGTATAAACACGTTTGTGTAAAATTAAACATTTTATAAACACAAATACATTAGCTTTAATAATAATAAACTTCTTGTTAGACTTCTTGACAAAGGATTTAAATTAAATACCACTACTATTTAATTAATTTAGTGATGATTAAAGAGGATAAAGTCTCCAAAATAAAATTCACTAGATTATTGATTGATTATTAAAATGATCCAAAATAATCACAATATTATTTAAATTTTCTTCAACTTTCCTGACATTTTGTTGAAGGATTTGAGAAGAGGTTTTAGACAACAAGTTTTCCAGCAACAAATGCAATTTTCTCTAGCGGACTTTTCATGGCCCTGATAATGTTTTCAATGAGCATTATTTTGGTTTGTGGTGTTGATGTTCATTAACAACAACGTGAAAATAGCTGACATAATGAAAATTAATACTTATTTTTTGTGAGATGTACCTTTACTTCAATGCATCAATTAGATAAATCTTGTTAGATTAAGAAAAAAGATTAAGTATAAAAGCATGAATCAGGCTTTCTGTTGTTACAATTTTTCAATAATCTAGAAAGATTATCTTTTAATTTTTTTTTTGAGAGAACTTTTTTTTTATCGGTCTAATAACAGAGCATCACGAAGGAGCATTATTATTATTTTATTAAAAAATTTTATTTAATAAATATATATTTTTTATACTTATTTCACTTAAATATATACGTTTTTTAAATATACGTTTTTCTTTAAAGTGAAAGATTTTTGAAATCTTTCACTTTAAAGAAAAAACGTTTTTTTGCAATTACTTTAAAGATATATTTTTTTGTTTCGTTAACTTTAATGAAATATTTTTGATTGACTTTTTTCGATCAAATACTCCACAATGCATCATGAGGGAAACTTCACCCATTGGAATTAGACTGAGCCTATAGTCACAAAAAAAATTATTATAGTTTATTTTACTTTTTTAATTTTGATCCTTTATATTTCATAACAATATTCTCAAAAATTTGTAAGGGTTAAAAATAATTTCTAGGAGTCACCAAGTATATATGCATTAAGTGTTCAAACTATCCCATGATTTTGAAATTTTTGAGTAACAGTTATTTAATGTAAAATTTTAATAAAAAAAAAGCTGTAATAAAATATAGCTTATATTTCAATTCTTTAACACATTTAACCTGAATGCTTAGAAATTATATCAAGTGACTGATTTCTTATTTTTTCTTTTTTTAACTTAAATAATTGAAATTTAGTTGAAGTTAAAAAACAGTTATGTAGTTATTTATATGAATTTTTTTTTTTAATTATTCTTTTTTTAATTTTTGGTTTTCTAACTTTTTTTATTTATTTTGTTTTAGCATACAGAATGGTCTAAAGAATATTTTGACGATAGCCCTTGGCTTATGTATCTTTTTGTTTTATGTGGTAATTTGTTATATTTTCTTTGTTGTTTTTTATATTTTATTATTGTTTGTATTGGTTATATTTTGTACTACATTATATTATATATATATATATATATATATATATATATATATATATATATATATATATATATATATCTCATGAAATATTTTGAATAAAATTGTAATTTACAATTTTGTTTAATCTTCAGGCTGGTTGATCTTTTTACGTGGAATGTTTTCGTATGCACAATTGAAACGCCACGTTTACTCTCGATTAGACGATTCTGAGAACCCGCGTCGTCGTTTATTTCATTAAGTAAAGTGTATTTTTTTTCTATAACTTTAGGAAAAAACAAGTATATTAATAAACTGTAGTATAAAAAATGTAAATTAGAATTTTTGATTTTGTAAATACTTTATTTTTAGATGTTTATGTACATCATCTTATTCTCTTGATTAGGTACCTTCAGCTCTGTGGATTTTTTTTTCTTATGCTTTTTTTTTAATTATTTTTAAGCAACTTTATTTTAAATAACTATAGGCGATGACGTAATTTTTTTTGCTAATTATTCTTTTGTCTATAATATTTTTTGCCAAACCTTGACAATAAGTGTTTATAAATAAAGTATTTTAAATCGGCTTATAAAATAGAATTGTTGGATATTATAACATGACGTATTTATTTTGCGATGCAATTCGTAGTTTATTAAATTTACGTTACTGAATAAACTTTTTGAACATGTCCTACTATATTCACGGCTAAATTCAAGACCGATTATTGAAAAAATGGCTGCACTAAATGCTTGATTTTAAAAAGTAACTCAAACCTTAATTTTTAACTTAGCTCTTCAATATAAAAGTGGCAGTTGGTGTTTATTATTATATAATTAATCAAGATAGTTTAGGTATATCAAAAAAAAATTTAAAGATATTTTGTTGATATTCGTTGAAGGTTTGTAGTTTGCTAAAATGTTCAAGGTTAATAGTCTAAGTTTGATAGTCTAAGGTTAATAGTCTAAATGTCTAAGGTTAATAGTCACAAAAACTATTTAAATTAAATTACATTTATATCTATGTATACTATATTTATCTATAATATATATCTATATTCATGTATATTTTAATGCTATGAGAAAAATGTCAATAAATAATTCGAAGAAATCAAATAATTGGTAAACTTTATATATCTTTGTAAACAAACGCTATACAGGTCCGGCGCTAGACATTCCGAAAGTGGGTAAAAAAATATTTTGTCGCCTTAATGATATAAATTTTGTAATGTATTTTAATACAAATTTTGAAAGAATGTTATAAGTAATTTATCTTGAAAATAGTACTTTTTAAAAACTTTTAAAGAATGTCAATCATTGGTTGGCAGAAAAATGCACAAGCATGATCAGGGCCGCCGAGAGCTTTTACAACGCCCTGGGCATAGTAGCACTCCTTTAAGCATCTTTAAATTAAAAGCATGTACAATATACAAGTTAGTGTTTGTGTTTTTATTTCTAATACTGTTAATTTACATCCATATTTTCAAGAAAATCTGAATATAATCTGGGTTAAATAACACTTTTGTAACATATTCATTGATTAGAATTAACTAACAAATTATTTAAAATTAATATTGAAAACACTCTTTTTTTTCGCTTTTTTACTAGCAAAAATTTATATTATTATTATTTCATCTTAAGAGAGAGTTGCATCTAATTCATTTTCAACATGTATGCTTGATAGACGTTTTTAAAGCTCTTGTTTTATAGTGACTCTACAACTTTTAAATCCATTTTAGTTTAATTAAAGGTCGTTCACATTCTGCAACAGGTAATGTCAAGATAGAATGCATATAGATTGGAAAATAAGCTATAGACTCTTTGTACATTTGGTTAAGAAAGCCTAAAGTATTTCCAGAAGACTACTTCAAACTATTAGGATGCAAAGTATCTTCTGTAAAGTTGTCATCTATTTCAAGCTTGAACTTTTACCAATTCTTTATTTTTTAACCAGACTATTATTTAATATTAATTAAAAACCTTGACGCCTGGGTGAAAATTTCTTATTTTGCATATTAGCAATTTTGATTTCATCTTTTGGCCTCTTTTTAAACGATTTCAGGTTATCTTTGGAAAACGAATCTTTCGAAAGTTTTCGTTTGTTATTAAAATAATATAATTTCAAAATTTTCATGATTTTCACAAATTTCCTTTCTGGTGCGTATTTATGGTAATGATATAATGACATGAATTGATTAAGATGAAATTTTATTCGCATTTAAATCCAAAATGACAAACTGACTTCAATTTCTGGAAGCAGTTTGGATGGAACAAAATAGTTTACCGTGTGATAAAAGGGATCTGTGTTATTTTCAAGACAACAGTCTCCAGAATTCAAATTCGCTTTACAGTTTTGATCTTTTTAATAGTTTTTTCGCATCACAATCTAAAAAAAGTATTTCTAAAATAGAATTTCCATTTCTCAATTCGATTATTTCGGAGGATCAACCTAAAATTTTAAGCTTAAAAAAACGTAACCTTTTAATTATTAATACAAACAATCTATCTCGGAAATTATATAGAGAAAATTGGAGTGACGTTTATAAAAGTCATAATGCAAATGAAGCGTGTAGTTTATTTTTAAACAAATTTCAAAAGATTTTCAATGAAGCGTATCCAAATGAAGTAATAAAAATAAAAACAAAAACACTTGCTAATCCATGATTGGATAAAACACTTATAAAATGCTCTAAAAACAAAATCTAAAATAAAAAATTTATAAAACATACAAATGCTTTTATACCAATCTTCTTAAAAAAACTAAAAAAATATATTAAAGCAAACAAATTACTAAATGTAAGTTAGATACTAAAAAAAGTATGGTCAGTAATAAATGTATTACTAAACTAATATCAAAAATAGTGATATATTATGCCCTAAACAAATATCTACGGAGCTTAATATATATTTTACAAATGTAGGACTTGATCTTGCTAACAAAATTATACCAAACTCATCACCGACCTATAATTCTTTTAAAAAAGGTCTAAAACCACCAGACAACAAAACATTGCATGACTTTGACTTAACATTAAAAGAATTTGATACTTTTTCCTCCTTAAAAAAGAATAAACCACCGGGCTTTGATGATATACCCAGTAACATACTTATTGCAAATAAAAAAAACTATTAGTAAACCAAATAAAAAAAGTGTTAGTAAGCCATTGCTTTATATTGTAAAACTGTCTTAAAATCAAGCGGTATTTACTGATGTTCTAAAATTAGAAAAAGTATTTCCAATTTATAAAAATGATGATCATTCTAACGTTTCCAACTACAGGCTTATATCAGTGCTTTCTGTATTTTCAAAAATATTGGAAAGTGTAACTTATTAAAGAATCTTTGATCATTTTACTAAAAACAATTTCTTTTATTCAAAACAATTTGGATTTCAGAAAAATCATTCAACTGAACATGCTGTATTGAATTAGTCAATCAAATAAATCAAATAATCAAATAAATAATGGCTTTAACGAAAACAAAGTTACTTTAGGTGTATTTATCGATCACTCAAAAAACTTTTGACACAGTTGATCATTGTATACTGTTAGATGAGTTGAAGCATTATGGAATAACTAATAAGGTCTACTATTGGCTTAAAAGTTACCTCACGGATAGAAAGCAATATGTTCTAAAGCAAGAATACGGAATACTTAAAATCTCGTGTGGAGTACCGCAAGGATCGATACTTGGTCCTCTCTTATTCTTAGTTTAAGTAAATGACTTAAATAATGCTTCAGTAAAGTTAAACCCAATTATGTTTGTGGATGATACAAACCTATTTCTTTCCAACAATAATATCAAACAACTTTATGCAGACATGAATTTTGAATTAAATAAGATAAATGACTGGTTTATGGCAAATAAACTCTCATTAAACGTTGAAAAAACAAAGTATACCTTATTTCATAAAATATGAAAGAAGAAAATCTGCTCCCTAAATTACCAGACCTATTTTTAAATAACATACAAATAAAAAAAGCGAGAATAATTTATCTTGGCTTCTCCATATTAATTATTTACAATCAAAAGTTAGTAAAACCATTACAATGGTTTTACTCATCACCATTATAATGGTTTTACATCAGACCAATGCATTGGTGTGATGTGCCGAGTTCGTCCATATTCAGGCCCGTAGGAACCGGGTGGGCAGCAGAGGCATTTGCCCCCATCCCAATAGTTTTTCAAATAAATAATTTTGAAGAAATTGACTTAAAAAATGACAAAAAAAAAAAAGTTCCCTAAAATTATTTCAGGGTAGTACTGCCCCCCCCCCCACCTCAATATAATTTTTGTTCCTACGACCCTGCTATGTAAATACAGTTTGTCTAAAGTTAATATACTTTTCTTTAATTCATTGTTTCATTAACTATGCACTATGCTAACATTACATGGGCTAGCACAAAACCATTAAAATTTATAAAAATATATACTTTGCAAAAACATGCGTGTAGAATTATCTACGGGAATAAAGACGAGAGCATACGAAACCTATAATGAGAAATTGAACAGTCGTGGCGCAGTGGTAGCGCACTTGTCTCAGAAACAAAGGGTCTGTGGTTCAAACCCCACCTCTGGGCAAGTTTTGCAACACCGGTTAGGAAGGAGACGTGAACTTTCAATTAAATGCTCATCCGCGGGGCTGTGATAAGACCGTACTGACTTCTTAGGACACCTAAATAAAAAATAAAAAATAAAAAAAATGAAAATGATAAATGTATACGAAATAAACTTTTATCAGCGCCTAATTTTCATGTATAAAAATATTAATAACCTAACTCCAGCTAATTTTATTGGTAAGTTTGAGGAAAAAATATAAATAAAAAGTATTTCTTAAGAGTAAATCGATCAAATTCCTTTAAACTGCCGAGGAAATCAAATAAATATACAGAATATTCAATTGCATATCGAGGATCTAAGTTATAGAATTCTTTTCAAAAAACTAATGCAAATATTGTAAAATCATTAAAGTCGTTTCAGTTTCGAATAAAAAACATATTTTCAAGTTTTCGGAATAATAATTTCAAAACAGTTTTGTAAATTTATTTAAATGAATTTTACTTATTATTCTTAGTAATTACTAATGATATACCTTGACCTACTATATTTAAGCGGCCGGATATCTATATTTAAGCGGCCGGATATCTATATTTAAGCGGCCGGATATCTTGCTTTTCGGAGCGAAAAATTAGAAGAGTAACTTTAGAACTTTCTTAAACGTCTTATAAAATTGTTTACTTAAATATTAATAATATGTTTAAATGTTCTATTATAATATGTTTAAAAATTATATTTATACATTATGCTTAAATATTATTTAAATATTCATAATATGTATAAAATTGTTTATTTAAATACTCATAATATGCTTAATACATGAGCTTAAGTTTACTGTAAAACCATAGTCATAATATCATATTATATATGTAATATATGTATATGTATATTATAATAATATATAATATATGTATATTATGACTATGGTAAAACTCGATATAAAAAAAGAGAGAATCAACTTAATTTTATTCCTGAAAAGCATCCAAGTTTTGGATTTCCAAAAAATAATTCTTACTTATTTAAACAGTAGGTAGTATTTATCAATCGAAAGTTATGTTAATTTATCAATCGATAAAGTTAAACCCCCAGTGAGAAAGGTCAGCTTAAAGACATTTTAAAAAACATTTTAAAGAAAAACATTTAAAAATTAGCAAAAGAGTAACATTAGTTTGGAACTTAAACTGATTCCTCAAGCTTTTTAAAGTTGATAAATATATGGCAGACATTAAGTAACAGTAAGCAAAAATACTACAACAATTTTTGTATTGGAAATGCAGCTGTTTTGGGTGACATGGAACTTTTATTTTTGAGGAATTTAGTCGAATGGATTGAAGATTGGCAATCATCTCAAGTTTCAAACTATCATAAGTTTACGTTTTAAAGTTTATTAGTTAAATTTACATTTTAAAAGTTCATTAGCTGAATCTGGTGAAGTAGAATGCTGTTATTTAGAAAAATTTATTGTGGAGAATTGATTTTACCAGCTATTGATCTTACCCATTATGTTGCAAAAGCATTTGGAATATTTGATACTGTCATTTTGCTTATAAGAAACTCAACTTTTTGTGATTTGCTTCAGAATGGGTGCTTAGATTAAATGATTGTGCTACTTCATTTTTATGCGATAATCATCTTATGGGATGATCTTATATCATGATCAGGGGCGCCGAGAAAGGGGCAACGGGGCATACGTGCCCCGGGCGCCAAGATAATAGGGGCGCCAAAAAATGATTTTTTTTTTTTTTTTTAAGTGTCAATACAATGTTTAACTATTAATTAATGTTTTGTGATTTTATATGATGTTTTTATAGTATAATTTCATTAAATAAACTAGAAGTTGAATTAATTTACAATGGCGGCTTTCATGTTTACGGATGATTATGTTTAGTGCAGTGAGTTTTCTTTTAGAGAGAACTTTTTTTGTTTATAATATGAAAGTGACGACGTATTACACTTTGGCATACAATCTCACGAATGTATTAAGGTGCATATTTCAATGTCACTCTATGCAATTGCATCTCAAATCGCAAATTTACATATTTAAAGGTGAAAAGAGAAAGAAAAAAAAAAGAAAAAAAAAAGTAAATTAAAAAATTATTTTAAAGATATAAAAATTAAAAAAAGTAAAACTAAAATAAGGTTAAAAGATATAAATAAGTAAATGCTAAATCAAGCTAAGTCTTTGATAAATTTTTAAACGGAATTTTTGACAAAATGAAAGAAGAGAGCAAAACGGTATCACGATGAACTTGAAAATGCAGCTTTCTGCTATCGGAGCCCCGAGCATTAATTTGAGGTGAACATCTTCAACGTCGCTTTTGATCTTTTTATTTATCAAATTCAGTCAAGATTTGATATAGTAAAGAGTGTTTCTTCAAGTTTCTCATTAATCTGTCTGAAAAACCAGAAACCAGGTTCTCAAGAGATAAAAGCTCGTGAATTAGCACAATTCTACTCTAATGATGTCAAAGAAGACGACTTCATACAAGAAATTTTGCATCTTAATTGTTTGGATGAGTCGTCGTTTTTTATTCCTAGAAACTCATTGAGCCTTCTTGACCAAATACATTCAAAGAGTCTGCAGCCTATTTTATATGGATACATATGTATGAATCTTAATTCGAATTTTTAATACAATACCATTTTCTGTTGCAGAGAGTGAACGATCCTTCAGTAAACAAAAATTGATAAAAACAAGAAGGACAAGAACGTCTTTCGGATCTCATGATGTTTTCAGTGGAAAATGAGTTGGCTAAGACTTTGTGATATGATAATACAATAATAAATCTTGCCGATAAAAAAACAAAAAAAAAATGTTTTATGTAGGCCGTTTTTTGATTGAAAATTTTGCCGTAAAATAAATTTTAACAGAAATAAACCACAATTATGAAAATTCATTTTAAAACCTTGTACAGTCATATATATGCATGAATGAATTCGATTTTTTTTTTTTAAATCATGTATGCTGAAAGGGGCGCCTACTCAACGCCATGCCCCGGGCGCCATAAAATCTTTCGGCAACCCTGATCATGATCATCAAATTATTGGTGTAAAATTTGTAAATCACGTTCTTAAAAATATCTATTTTAACAATGAACAGAAATAATTTTCTTATTAAAAGAACAGCGTGAAGTATTTTAAAAACAAACAAAGAAATATATTAAAATTGAATTAGTTGAAATAGTCAATCAAGCTGAACTGAAATAAAGTAATCAATGCTAATTTATACTGAACTATTATACCTTTAATGTATATTCTTTCTTTATTGCTAGATTTAATTTATCTTTTTTATATATCTTCCCAGTGGGAAAAAAAGACGTCGAAAAGACGTCTTTAAAAGTCTTATTTACGATGTCTTTAAGACGTCTTTTTTTAATCGATTATGCAAATCTAAAAGACATCTTTTTTCGACATTGAAAAAGCGTCTTTTTTGTCTTTATCTTGTCATGAAAAGACATAAAAAATGCGTCTTTAAGACGTCTTTGTTTATCAATTATGCACTTCTAAAAGTTTTTTTGCTCGGGGTCGGAACGACTTTTTTGTCATACTTATTAGTATACTATAATATCCTATACACTATAGTATTCCTACTTTTCAAATATGAAAAGCTGTTTTTATCAAATAAAAATGATAATAGCTCTTCATACAAAATATGACAAAAAGCTCTTTCCGATGCCGAGAAAAAAACCTCTTTTAGATGTCAATATAAAAGAGGAAGCATTTTCTACATCTTTTATATGTTTAAACATAGGAGAATAATTTATAAATAAAACAACAGTATTGTTCAACAGAATATTTTTTCATCTTTCTCTGTCTTTTGTGTTTCTTGAGCGACCTCTGTTTCTTGGAGTTTTTGAATAAAATTAACTATTTCACGTCGAGAAATCCTTTCATACGAGCTGGTTACGACTTCTAGCTGGTTACGACTTCTAAAAAACGAGTGAACATAAAAAATAGTCTATTGCTTGAATGTAATACAAAAAAGCAAATAAAACTTGATTAGCTGAGTAGAACACATTAGACTTACTGACTATTAATTCAAAAAGGGCTGATCCTTTTAACCACCTCATGTTTCCAGCGCGGTCTTTTCTTTTTGAACCCACTAGGTTAGATTGGGACAGGAGTCAAACGGTAAACAGTCTAAAAATATACAAAAATGAGTGTGCTAAAGAAAATAACAACCATTAAAATGACTGTATAACGATGTATTTTACTATGTAGTACTTAAATCAAGCTAAACATTTACACCTGTCAGATTTGCTATGAAAGCCAAGTTATTGAAAACAGATATTGATATTTTTCTGTCTTCTATGACATGACTTTTTAATTGAATTTTGCTGAAATTAAGTGTTCTAGATTCATAACAATTTAAAAACCCGTTATTGACTAAAGACTATCAAAACAAAAAGATAATTCAGCTAATACACCTTGGAAGTTGTTATTCATTTAAACTGGATAAAAGTATTTAATCAAAGCACTATTTTATCCCGAAACATAATGATGCTTTACTTAACAACATAAAATCATAAAAACTGGCAGTATCATTAGCAACACAGATGAAATACACATAAACAAAAATGAAGACTAGAAAGCTGCATTGATGTTTAGATATAAGAAAGTGTACCTTTCCAGTATCATTTTCACTTGGTATTTTGTATCCTAACCAAAAGTTTTGCAAACAGTTCGAAAGATAAATCTGTTGCTATTATGTTCAATTTTTTACTTGGTTTCTTATCCCTTACAAAAAAACCCAGCGAACTTCCAGCGAAAGTTCGCTGGAAATTTAAAAGACCACTGGAAATTTACTAAGATCACTGGGTTTTCGGCAAAGTTCCCTGGATTTCCATGGAAACAAAAGACTTCAACGAAAAACTTCCAGTGATCTTAAAGTTCGCTGGAAGTTTACTGGGTTTCTTGCGTAATATTTCGCCATTTTTCCAGTGATTTAAAAAGCGTTGTTGTTACAACTTCTGCATGCAGTTAAAACTTGGAAAATTGATAATATATCTTCTTAAAATAATATTTCAAATTTTTGTATAAAAGTAATCCTTTTTATTTTATTTTTTGCATCTAATAGATAATCTATAGTGCGAGTTTCAATTATTATTAGTTCTACTCAAGTTACAAAACAAAATCATCAGGTATGTTGCTCAAAATGTTTATTTTGAGCAACATACCTGATGATTTTGTTATTGTAATTTAGTATTGTTTATTTTGCATTCGCTTTATGCGAATGCATTTATATTTATCAAATTCAACTTTATTATTTTATAAAAATAATTTTTATAAATGTCTTTATGATTAGGTATTTTATATTAAAAATAATAAATAATAAACTGTTTTTCTCTCTCACTGAGAGAGAGGGATATATAATATATATCCTTCTCTCTCTCAGTGTATATATATATATATATATATATATATATATATATATATATATATATATATATATATATATATATATATATATATATATATATATATATATATATATATATATATAAAGTATGTTAGTGTATTCTACAAAAAAAGTGCTCAACGTTCTTAAAGAACAGAGCAATAATAAATTAGTAAAAACACTTATCTAATTTTTATTTTCTTCTACAGCTTGTTTCTCCATCAGTAGGATCATCAGGAAGGAATCTTCCTGATGATCCAACTGATGAAGAAACAAGCTGTAAAAGAAAATAAATATTAGATAAGTGTTTTTACTAATTTATATATATATATATATATATATATATATATATATATATATATATATATATATATATATATATATATATATATATATATATATATATATATATATATATATATATATATATATATATATATATATATATATATATATATATATATATATATATATATATATATATATATATATATATATATAAGCAATGTACAAAATGTTTGAAATATTTTACATTATCTTATCTTTATAAGAAATGCAATTATTTTTATATTTTAAACATAAACAAACAGCATAAAAACATGTGTGATAACAATTGGATACATTTAGAAAGTTTTGAAGAAAATGGGCAAGCAACAATTAGACTTGTTAATACTGATGGAGTTCCTGTTTTTATATTATCTAAGTGGACCTTGTGGCCTTTGCTAACATCCATTCATAATTTTCCATATTCATTGCAAATTACTAATATTTTGTTTTTTGGTTTCTGGTCCAGTAATTGCACCAAACGTGCAATTATTTTATCTTGTTTTGTTGATTTTTTTACTAACCTATCCACTACTGGTATACTCTTATCTAATAATTTTTGTGTTTTTTTTCATGTACCTATTTTTTTGTGTGATACAATTGCAAGAGCTATGGTTTTTTGTCGTAGGTAGTTTAATGATTGTAATGGTTGCCATTGGTGTTCTTCTCAAGTGGTAAGAGTTAAAAAAGGTAGGAGGTCTTGTATGACTTATCCATTTTCTGATGTTAATGGGAGTTGTAGAATCATACAGATTTTTTTTGGATTAATATGATAATGAGCTAAAGGGATTTTAGATTTGTTTTTTATTTGTAAGAGTACCTAATTTTAGTTGTGTAAATGGAACAGTTGTTGATAATCTGCACTGTATTGAGCTTGGTGTTATGAAAGCTATGTTTTCTTTCTGATTTGATAGTTATTCTGGTTATATTTTTTCTATTAGAAGTCACTGTACTGTTGTAAATAATCTTTTATCTGCAATCAGTGTGCCAAGCAATATAAGACGGACTCGATGATCATTAAGTTGTATAAAGCATTGGAAAGGTATTGAGTTTTTTAATTTTTTAGTTTTTTATGGTCCTGTTATTTTATGTGATGTTTTGCCTCCTCAGTTTTTTGACCATTTTACTCTTTTATCAAATATTGTTTTTATGTTGAATAATAAGGTATTATCTGAAAGTGTAATTAATGAAGCCACATTATTAGTTAATAAATTTGTTTATGAGTTTTCTGATTTGTATGGTAAAGAAAATATGTCTTATGTTAAAGAGTTATTTTAAAGCAGTTATTATATATATACAGAGCTTTTTTTAAAGCAGGTATTATATTTTAATGCAGTTTTTATTTATGTTTAACTAAAATTATAAATCTTTCTCTCTCTATATATATATTATGTATGTATATATATATATATATATATATATATATATATATATATATATATATATATATATATATATATATATATATATATATAAATATATATATATATATATATGTTTGTATATATATATATATATATATATATATATATATATATATATATATATATATATATATATATATATAATATATATATA